AACTATCAAGTTACTGCAGAGCCTTAGTGACAAGGAACTGGTGGCACGTCTGCGCCCTCAAAACCCAACGCCACCTAAGATATACGGGTTGCCCAAAATCCACAAGCCAAACTGGCCCCTAAGACCAATAGTTAGTCAAATAGACGCACCTACCTACAACCTGTCGCGTCATTTGGCTACTATACTGCAACCGTTTACCGGTAAAACAAACACCTTTGTGAAGGACTCCCGCCATTTTGTCGCCTTATTGGAAGATGTTCGCCTCCAAGACACAGACATTATGATAAGTTTCGACATAACATCGCTATTCACAAATGTTCCTGTAGATGAAACGATATCTATAATTACCAACATACTTAAGGACACTGATTTACCTACTGGATACATCGCGTGTGTTAATCATTGTCTCACCACAGGTTACTTCCTGTGGAGAGGGGAATACTACCTGCAGGTGAACGGAGTGGCTATGGGGTCGCCACTGGCGCCGGTGGTGGCTAACATCTACATGGAGTGGTTTGAGGGTCAGGCCTTGGCATCCGCCCCGGTACGACCGCGACATTGGTGGAGGTATGTTGATGACGTGTTCGCGATCGTCAACCGGGAACATGTGGCTGAATTTGTGGGACACTTGAACTCAGTGCACGGCAGTATACAATTCACCACTGAAGAAGAGAGAGAAGGGATGTTGCCGTTCTTGGATGTCCTCGTAAGACGAGAAGAAAATGGTCGATTGTCACACACAGTGTATCGTAAACCGACACACACGGACCGGTACTTGCGAGCTGACTCACACCATCATCCCTCCCATCTAGCCGCTGTTCCCCGGACCTTGATAAACCGGGCGCTGAGTCTATGCGATCCCCAGTATATTGACGACGAATTTCACCACTTAAAACGGGTACTGGAAAACAATGGATACAACTGGCGTCAATGTACTCGACTTGCGAGCAGCTCGAGTAGGAAGCGACCGGCAGTTGCGGAACGGACTCCAGCGTTCTTACCATACGTGAAAGGAGTAACCGACAGAATCGGACACCTGCTTCGCCGTAAATACTGCATCAGGACGATCTTCCGCCCACCCGGTCAGCTAAGACAACTACTACGCTCACCTAAAGATAAGGATCCACTGGCTGTACCCGGAGTGTACATAATACCGTGCGACTGTGGCTCGAGTTACATCGGGGAAACTCGTCGCAACATCACAACCAGGCTAAAGGAACATATACGCAGCGTGAAGAAGATGGACATCCAGGCATCGGCAGTGGCTGAACATGTTTGTGGTACGGACGCGGCTCACTTCATACGTTTTGATAAGGTCTCCGTACTAGCGAGAGAAAAATACTTCGTTCCGCGAAAAGTGCGAGAGGCCATCGAGATCAGCCGACGACCGTGCTTCAACAGGGATGGTGGCTGGGCACTGCCACCCGCGTGGAAGCCGAGCTTGGAGTCTTCGTCGATCCACAGCGTCTCCAGTCTGGAGTGTGACACAGTAAGCGTTATATGCAACACTGACTTTGTGCCGAACCCGGAATCGAACCCACGACCCGCGCCGCTGGTGAACGTACCGTGCGCTTTAGCTTCGTCCAACGCGCTGCCGGAGTTGGAAGCAAACGCTCGTAGTGTCCGACAGAGGGCGCGTTGGGCTCGCAGCGCAGGTGGCAACACCGAGGCGAGCGCCAACGCCAGCCAGTGAGCTGCGCGACGTCGCCGCGACCGCGCACGCTGCTCATGAGGAAGAACCCCTCTGTGGTTCGAAACTAGTAGAGCTTTTCTCAGTATATTCACGTGAGTAACCCGCGTTTTTACTTAATTTAGTATGTCTCACGATAGTTATTATAAAAATAATTTCAAATTGATCGTGTATCCAAAAATGGGATAGTTCTGAAACTCGTGAAACTTCAAATACAGATATATTGTTAACTAACCCATGTCATAAGTTCGAATTAGTTTTACTAAAATAAGTTTGTTAGTAATCAGAGTTCAATTGTAGCAATAGGATTGAATTTTACATTATCATTTTCTTATTTTTAAACGAGGAGAGTTCCACCAATTTTCTGTCCGCAGAGAACGAATGCCTACTGAGGTTCATGTTTTGGATAATGAAAAGTATTGTTAGGTATTTACAAGGTAAATGTGTCACAACTAGCTCACTGGATACATTATTTCACTATCAGACGACAACATTAGTATGAATAACTGGTACATACAGAGTGTGAACTGAACTGTCCTGAAAAACGCAGACAGGTGATAATATATAATGTAATAATAATAATAACTTTTATTTCAGACCACGTCTATAGAGTTAGTAACAATTGACTTAAACTAGTGCTAGTATAAATAAACACACAATTAACGTATGGCGTGGAGTTGCATCCACCTTTGCATCATTGGAGAATCCCATCGATCTGCGAATATACTGAGAATACTGTTGGTACTGCCACGCATACGTGTCATCAGAGAAGCACATCTAAAACCGATAATAAAAACCAAGTTTTATTTTCATAAAACTTAGGAGTTCAATATTCACTTTAAGGTAATAATAGTGGTAATCATAAGGCTGATATTACATGAATAACATGAACACAAAAAACGAATAAAATTGTAAAAACTATTTCTGTTTGTCAGCATTTCGGGAGCGCTCCATTCACACACTGTATATGCCTCTAATGTTTTACCCACTTATACCGGTCATAAAAATCAACCCAGAATTTAATGTGAAGCTCTGTAATCGATCTAGATAAACGAAGAATTAATCAAAGACAGCTAATAATCTCATCGTTCGAGAAATAACCTCAAATACTTCGAGCCAAACTATTTACTCTATGGGGAAATTGGAAATCTCCAATCTTTGCCCCTTACTAAAGCAAATATTTGCCAAACTGTTTAAACCGTAAAACTTCTTCCTTATTGGCAGGAACATGATCTAAAGTAGGTAAATTGGATTACTAGAGTTTAATGACCCCGCTTAGTTATTGTCACTTCACATGCGGTCAGCGACATTTTGGGATTGCCGCATTCAAATTAGTTCTTTTATTAATTTTTATTTTTTTTATTTACTTGTAAAGGTAACAAAGACAATAGTAAAAATCAAATAGCTATACAGGCACAATTGAAAATACTTTATGAAAAAAAAAAAATCTAATGCAATTAGAACACAATCAAATTTAAACCCACACACAAAGATTGACAGTTTAAAATCCAACACAAATGAATGTGTAACTCAAGCTCAATGCGTAATGGATTTATTGGGTATAAAAATATCCGAGCTAGCGGTGCGGGGGAACCAATTGTAATTGGGCCGAGCGGGTCTAATCTCGGCTTGAACGTAGCTAGAGGTACCCATATTCAAATGACTATATTTTCAATTATTCTCCAGGTACAGCCTGTACAGTATTTGCATGGAAAAGGATTTCATTTCTCCCCTTCTTTCTTTGTTCTGTCTAATCTTTCTTTTATTGGCTGAAGAATGATACTGCTGTAAGCTTGTTCTTATTCGAATGGTGTATTGATAAATATTTTGTCATAATCGTAAAAAAAAACAAATTTAAACTAAGAAACAAGTTACGTTCCTTTTTTGTGTCAAGCGTGATCTTTGACATAAACGGAATTTAATATTTATCCTCAATTCGAAAATCTTAAGAAAATCCCAATACTTTTCCAAACAGATGACAGAACCCGGAAAAACTGTATCCGAAAAGAAAATTAATGATGACCCACCCATATTCAATAATTTCCCTCATTCATCGAAAAACTCTTAACCAAGTAATGAACTGTACGGGTTTAAACGGACAAAATCAAAATTCGAATACCAAAGTTCAACAAAAGGGCGGTAAAATACAGAAAGTAGTTAAATTTGTTCAAAGTGGGACAAATTGGGCTGAAATCCAATAAAAAATTTAAAGCAAAGAGTATTGATTGAAATGAAATACACTTTCATCGAAAATGCTCGATGATTTCCCGAACTTCTTATTATAAGAAATTATATACTTTGATCGCTATTTAGCTTAACGAGAATCCGGAGGAATTGGAAACCAACGGCATGATTAGTCCGCAGTATAGACTCTTTTTTCAAACGAAAATACTCAGTTTTAAACTTTTAGTCATTTTTAACAAATTTTGCGACCTTTTTGCTTAGTTAACTTTTATTCACACTGTGTAGAACATCTTCATGACCCAAATGTTCAACATTGCCTAGTAATTTCAACAAACGTCCTATAATATTTTCATTACCTTCAAGCTAGTTTTTGTACCTTATAGGAGAATCATGGCATGATGAAAATGGAACCTACAAATCATTCTAGCAATGATAATGAAACTTTAGAATCTTGTTGATAAATCAGTCATAAAAAACTTCATGTTGTAAGCATAAATTCCTTAACATTACGAAATTACTTTCATAGACCGTCTTTACGTCAGCAAACACTACTGACGTCACCACTTCTATAAAAGAGAAATAAAAATAAATAATACGTTCGACGAATACGGAATTAAACGAACATTGTGTTCTACGTCAAAGGTAACACTTAATACAAAATTCGGGTATACTAGCGAGGCGAATTGTACCTTAACGTGAAGAAGATACAGCATACTGTAGTCCTTTATTATTCTTTCATACTCATTGTCTGGTTACGTTAAGACATTGACGCGAGTAGAGTGTTTTAGTCTGAATTAATAGCACCAACATCTATAAACCTGACAATTTTAGCTCCCATTAAACTACTAATAAAATACAGCAATGAACTCTTTTGCTCGGCAGTCTCACTAGATACTATAATTTTTAATTAAAACCTGAAGTATACTGTGGTGAAGAGCTTGTTTTATTAAAGTTTTTTTTAATATAGACGCATGTCAATTCTTGCCGTGTACTGATTGAAGGCCAGAATTCGTTTGTCTATCTCTTCCCACAAGTATCGAAAGAACTGAATAAGAGACACAGTACATTTAACAAAAACTCGGCAGCAGCGATCACTTGTAAAACTAAGCCTTTTATTCTTGTAGTAGAGGTCCAAAATGCAGCAATGTATTATCGATCTTGTGAGAGTCCCTATCATCATCAATCAATCAATTAATGTTTATGATCATAATTGTAATATATCTCAAAAAAGTATATCAGTCAGTGTAGTCTCATGGATATACATGAAGGCTAAGGCTTCACGGTGCGATCGTCTTCCGCGCCCGCCGCGATGGCGGAATGAAGGCGCAAATTTCAAAACTCACGAGACCGCAGTTTTCTGCGATCTCGCAATCGCGGCGGTTGCGATTATTGCCCGCAAACTTGGCGGTTGACTATCGTAAGATTGCCCGTCCTGTGATAGTCAGCCGGTACAGCGGGAGCCGCAAACAATCGCAACTGCCGCGGGTTTAAATATACCGCGCCGTGACGATGGCTTTGATTTTTTACCCGACTGCCAAAGAAGGAGGGTAATGTTTTTTACATATATAATCTGTTTTCTACAAAAGCAGAGGACCCGCAACCGTGTGGGCGCGGGAGAAAATCGCGCCATGTCTCCTTAGCTGAAGAGTAAGTAATTAAATTTATAATTTTATTATCATTAAGATATGTCTTGGTCTTTATCGTCGCGACCTGAAACCATAATCTTCGTAATTCAAGTAAGATTATACAATCGATTTAATGACCTGGTTACAAAAAACGGTGATTAATTTGTAACATAACATAGGTAAGGAGCTGCTAAAGTAAGTACAGCACAGGTTTCCAACAATTTATGCAAATCGTGGTTAAACGTAATGCTGATATAGTTCTTCCAATCAGTATGTTATTTCTCATCTAATAGGGGTTGAGTTTATTACCATATAATGGAAATTTACCGAATTTTCCGATTAATGCTTTCTTGGGCTCAGGGTGGAACTTGGCATTATTCGAACAACAAGTAAACGTGTTATTATTGGTTACGTGTTACTATAACCCATTAAAATTTCGACCGAAGCAATACTGAACAAAATAAAAAATATCCATAATATACAGGCTTGAATACAACCTGATAAATTGACCTACTTTTAAAAGAGCTATAAATAAAAACAGTAACAAACTATTGACCTCATAGAGGGTACTTTTTTTGCTCGTTAGAAGAAAATAAATGTTACCGATGTCCAATTATGAATCGTTATTGGATACTCGATTTTGTTCAAAGGTTTACTTATACGTGCAGGCTTTGAATTAAATGAAAAAATGCTTAAAATGTAAATTTATTCATTAATAAAATATCTCATATAAAAATGGCTATTTATTTTTCTTTTAGAAGAACGTAAAGCTACGTAACATTTTGTGTAAAATTTTTGTGACAAAAAGTGGATTTCGGTGTAAGTATATCGCGGTGGTTGTTTTTGATTTTCTTTTTTAATATTCTCAGTAGGTCCTGATACCAAAATACATCACAAATTTTAGTTAAATCGTTTCACCTATAAAGTATTAGAAAAATAACAGTCTTTGTTGAAAGCGAGACTAGTACCATAGTGCAAACTTACTCACAGAACAATTTAATTTTGAACACAACGTGAACATGTTAAATACAATATCTACCTACGATATGTTATTAAAACAAACAAGTAATTGCATACTTAAATTTTCCCGAGAATAAACTAGGGTTGAAAGTCCTTTTCTTTTTGTTTATGTAATAAGCAGACGGATTACCTGATAGTAAGCAATCGGCGCCGCCCATGGACACCCAAAACACCAGAGGCGCTACAAGTGTGTTACCAGCCTTTTGGACATAAGGAATTTAAAGATTGTTGGGGATTTAGGGATAGGGGAGATTGGTGAAGGGGAGGGCGATAATTGGGCTCCTGGTAACCTCACCCACGCGACGAAACACAACACAAGCATTGTTTCACATCCATTTTATAACTCCGAGCCGGCATAAGTCCGGTCGAGCCAACTTCGTTCATTCGTGCCGAAACATGTTTCGGCTAAAGCCATGGCTTTCCCACGCTTACTCCTTGCTCTCCTCTCTAAGGAATACCTTGTTAAGGAAGATTTTTTTAGTCTACCAGGCAGCGACAAAGGATAGTCTCAAAAAAAAATTTGACTTCAATAAAGGCAAGTTACCAAAGTACATAATAACAGCTACTAAAATATTGATCTCTATGACTAAATACAAAATAAACTACAAAATCGTATCTAGCCTATCTGGCCTATTTACAATTCTGGAATTATTTATCAAATCTCGCTGCTAAAGGAGCGTTACAATTTTAATGAACCCTCATTTCTGTCTACAAGAATGATTAAAGCCCTTGAAATTATTCTGAGAAAAGATTATGTTAAGCTAAACACAAATGTTTGCACCCGTCACGATACAGAAGAAAATCCTAGTATTGCACAACGTTATTAAAAAACAATACAACATTATTACCTACAGCAACTAAAATGACAACGATATGTAGCCATTCTTATATGATTTAAGGAACTATTACACATAATAATTACAAGCACGGAAGCATGCTTCAATTGAGGTGAGCCATATACCGGGCACAATTCCAGATTTCCATGCCACTACTGACATTTTTTTTAATACTCAATAATACATAGACCCGGAAATCCAACTCGAAACCCCTTGCCCGGCAGTCGCATTTGTGATGATTGGCCCAACGAGGCAGTTAACATTATTCAAAAAGTTAAAGTTTACTAGATAGCATTGCTGTTTAGTCTTATAAAAGTGACATGACTATGTCAATATCAACCAATTCAAAATCGAGACTATATAAATGTACTTATTTTGTTTATTTTCAACTTAATACAACTAATGTGTACAGGCGGACTTAATGCCTTGGGTATTGTCTCCCAGTCAACCTTTAAGTAGTGCAGAGATAAAAGTAGCATTTATTTATTTAATTATTTCAAAAACAATTTACATTGTGTGTGAATTAAAGCTTAAAACTAATAACACAAGTAGTCCAAAAAGAAAAAAACAACACATTTCTTAAATCGAATTACATTTAAAATTGTTGCTAAGATACTGATCTCATAACGACAAAATTTATGTGACACAACTACATTAATACATTGATACACTGTTCAATAAGTATACCCAATACAATACAATACATGTCATAAAATCAAATCTACTATCAATGTCAAAAAAAAAGATCAATATTAATACAAAGTAGGTAATTATAGCAAGTGACTAAGTATTCTTTATAAGCAGGCAATGTACTAGTATAATAATAATCTTACAATCATAATATAAAATAAATGCTATATAGGCATATTTGCCATTATAGTTGAAAAGTATTTGATTATAAATACTTGAAACTCTGCCACGTTGGCCGAGTGGTCGCAAGTGCGACTACCGGGCAATGGGTCTCAGGTTCGATTCCCGGGTCGGGCAAAGTATTACTGGGTTTTAAAAATTCTCAGTAGTAGCACGGAGTTAGGTATTGTGCCCGGTATATGGCAATAGGCTCACCCCCTATTACATGGAACTCAAAACATAAATAGTGGAAAGTGAGTGTTACATTGTACAGTGGCAAAATGTGCACCTCTACCTAACCCTCCGGGGAAAAAAGCGCGATGTTATGTTATTTGATGGTAGTTGAAAATATAATATCTTCCTAATACCTACCTAATAAACAAAAAAATTGTTATAAAAATATATCTCTAAAGTAAAAATACCTTTGTTTATCCACGTGTATTCGAGATCGTTCGTTGGTTCGTTGTTATTATAAAAACAAAAATGATATAGGTAGGTAGATAGGTTTGTTTATGAAAAAAGAAAAAAAATACCTACCATCTTCACCTACGCTT